GGGAGGGGGGAGGGGGGGAGAGGGGGGAGGGGGAATGAGCGCAGTCTCTTGGCTTCTGTCAGTCATTTTTATGCACATTCTTTTAACAGTCAATTGAAATCCACCTCGAAAAAAAAGGCTGACTATTTTCGTCTCCCAGCTAAGCAATGCTTTTTGTAGTGATGATAGACCTTTGTCGTTTTGATCCTGTCAGAAATATTTCAACTCCCTCTCGTAGTATTTTAAAAGTTCATAAATTTAAATTAATCGTTACCTGTGGGGTGGATGTGTGCAGCATAGTGATGTGGACTGAATTATATTTAAGGCCAAATTTTCAAGTTAAGCAGTAATGGTAAGAATTTGATGAACGCAACCGCTTGGCTTCTGGGAACTACTATCCGCACAATTAGCATTTTAATTTTCACGACGAAAACCGCCTGCTGTTCTGTGGCCTTTCTATTTGACTTTGGCGGTGAACATGGAAACCTGAGTATTGTAGCTCTCCCTTGAACGGAAATATTTATACACTGTTCGAATTATCGTATAAGGCTATTTTCATTGACTGCTCATAAGTAGACTGGGAAACGCTACTTAAATTAAACTTCCTGAACATATTCCAGTGGCTGCTAATTTTATGACTGTTCTCATTTACTTACTTTCATTCGAGAAGTGTTTTTATTCCCTGTTAGTCTTCTGGAAAACTGGCAATTTAGGGAGGGGATGGATATCTTAATTCGGAAGGACTCTATTGTCTGGATTGGGGCATCAATATATCAGCAAATGCACTCTAAATTATTATTGTTATTGTTATTATTGTTGTTATTATTGAAACGTTCCTTTCATCACCCATAAGTTTGCTTATCGTCAGAAATAATGGAGAATAAGGGGAGATAAGTAAAATATCATGGACGCTAAAAGCAGAATTTGGATTTTAGTTTATTTCCAGACATTGCTTATTTTCCTATTGAACCATGTGCCTAAAAATTTATTTAGATAAGGTAAAGAATGCTTTTCATACATCAGAACTTGAATAGTCGTAAGGCCACTGAAATTCATAGTTACATTTTTCACAGTCCAACGTTGTCAGTTTCAATTTTTTAAGATTTAAATTTGGAAATGGAACTTTAAATAGTGCATCAGAATCAGAACAATCTTCGAATATTGATAATGTAATTAAATTCCTTGATTGGGTAGGACCCTCGGTTAACTATGGAAGAACTATTACATGAATTCGTGTCCCTATGATCACCTGCGAAATTACACTTGTAGCTCATGGGTAAATCGAACGAGTTGCTACTGTGAGTGCCACCACTTCAGCTCTCCCGATCAAACAAAAAATTATCGAAGACACACATTCAACTTTTGGTATTTTGATAAAAAAATAATTCTCTTTTCTTTACACCAAATTATTAATTAATCGTCTGGGAAAACATTAGTGACAAAGAACAATGCTTGTCTCCATAGAAAACACTTTAACCCCCCCCCCCCCCAGCTAGAACAGACGTCTCTTCGGGCGTAACAATTGGAACCAAAGTTTATCATTGCCAACATTGGTAACGACTAAATCAGGCATTAACTGATTAATTTTCAAGTTTTTTTAATTGGAAAAGGAATAGTTCCACAGATAAACGCCTGGCCAGTCACATAAGGCGAGAATAAACCTCGAAGATATTCAAAAATTATATTGGAAGATTCTACCACAGCCTCCAATATTCGCTCGCTTTCGTTGCCTAAAGATTATCACCTTTTCAGGTCTGTGAAACATGTGTTAAGATAAAAGCGATTCGGAAATGCGAGTGAAGTCAAAAATCGCTTAAATTAGTATTTAATTTCAAAAGAGTAAGTTTTTTAAAGGAGGGAATTGAAAATCCCCAGGGGCAAAGGAAAAGAGTTGTTAATGGTGTTAGATATTTTGTTATACAGGATTCATATTTAATGCATTAATTCATATTTTGCTTTACTAACCGATTCCTATATATTTGTTAACAGATGGGGGGGGGCATATTACCTGTAACCCCCACAACATTATAAGAAAGAGTTATAGAAAATATTCAACTTAAACCACCCGAATAATTAGCAACGGGTATTAATCAGTTCACTCAACTCAAAATTGGTTATTATGTTGCCATTAATTTAAAGCATTCTTTATTCATGCAACTCTTAACTGGTATACGGATGAAACATTCTTTGCTAGACTCAGTTTTCCATTCACAGTCGAAAGTAATAAAGCGTCATTACTAATTGGCAGTTAACAGACTATAAAAAACCGGAATGCTTTAGACATGCACACCAATTGGAAACTTTTGACCAAATTAAGAAAATTGAGATTGTTGAGCATTTACGTATCACAAGTTAAGTTGGACCCTGTTGGAGAATATGAAGGACCAACTTATTCCAAAATCAAGAATGCTCATCACACTTTATTTACCTTCACTTCTTTGGATTATTTTACTATTTACCTCGTTCGGATGCAAACAGACCATAATAGAGAATTGAACTATATTCTATTAAAAGATTAAACGTTAACACAAAACGAAGGCGTATACCAAAAGTTAAATACCAAAAATAAGCCAAAACTTTGTGGCAGACATAGACGAGACTAGCACTAATTACTTTTACGCCCATGCTGAAATTAGTAAATATTAAGTGTTAGCAGCCAATATAAATTAATAAGACCAACTGGCTGGACAGTTCTAACAATTTGCTGACATCAATATTCAAATACTTGTTGAGGTTCAGTTTAGAACGAAATAGATATTCTACCTTCCAGATTAATCTAGTTATCAGAAGAAAATCACATTCTCCGTGTCATCTACGAACATAAATTTAGAGCACTCATTATTCAAGTCCACTTGTACTATAATACATACAAAATTTTAAAGGTAAAGATTGTAAGTTTTGGTTTATGTGATCTTCCTTTGTTGTATGCCCACAGTAAATATACATATTTCGTAAGCAGAAATTGTGTTAAGTTTGGTTCGGAACTAAATGAAGAATAAATATCCTTCTTATACTAAATTTCAGATTGTTTCTGACATTTCAAGTATTTGCCTCCTAAAAAACCTTACTGCTGCGACATTTTATCTTTTTTATCTTTTGCCTTATTATAACCTTAATAGAGTAGAAGTTAACAATAAGAGAAGATACTCCAAGTTCAAGAAATATTGGTTTTTAATAGTTACTGTCTATTTTAAAAATCCTACTTCAAGCTGCTCCACATGTACATAAATAGTGTATCGAGCAAATACGTGAAGTAGATAAAGATTATTAAATGAGATATATACATGTTAATTAAAATAATATAATTATCCTTCCAAGAAATTAAATCGAATATTTAGTTATATAGATATTTAAACATTTTCATATTTGTTTAAATGGATTAAATATCAAGGCTGTATGGGTTTGCTACACGAATAGGTTTTGACGTATCCTGAGCAATCCTTTTGCAAGCTATCTTGTATTGGGAAGTTTCCCTTGTGTTATTAGGCTACCCCAATGAACTTGAGGAAACTAACATTTAGCGCGTATTAAAGCCTGCTCAAGGTAAACTTGGTTGTACATCAATAGATGAATATCTGAGGAGTCCTCTACACGCTGGACCACACTTCCAGGATGTCATTGTTCGTAGATTTATTGCGCTGTTATTACATAATCCACAAGGTCGTTAAGTTATTTAATTTTGCAGCGATGCCAATTTTTAATTCATTTAAGTGATTTTAGCTTTGTTATTCTGACGTTTCATAAACTTAAAACAATATATATTTATAATTGCTTTCTTTTAATTATTGCTTGATCAGTGAATAATTAAAGAGCTCTGAAGTAAATTAGAGCCTGATATTTAAACTCCAGCATAAATGTAACTCTAGCTGTGATAATTCGAG